TAAGTTGACAGTATGTTTGGGCATTTATTTCTGGGGACTCTATTCTGTTCCATTGGTCTTCCTGTCTGTTTCTGTGCCAGTACCATGCTGTTTTGATTACCACAGCTTTGTAGTATATTTTTGGGTCAGGCAGTGAGATGTCGCCCATTCCACTCTTCTTCTGCAGAATTACTTTGGCAATATGGGGTCTTTTATGATTCCAGACAAACTTTATGATTGTATTTTTTAGATCTGTGAAGAATGTGTCTGTACTTTGATTGACATTGCATTAAATATGTAGATTAATTTGGGTAGAATTGCCATTTTTATTATATTCTTCCAATCCAGGGACATGAGATATCCTTCCACTTTTTTCGTGTCATTTTCAATTTTTTTTTTTAATTTCTCGTAGTTTTCCTTGTGGAGGGTTTTAACTTCTTTAGTTAGATTTATTCCTATGTATCTTTTGTTTTTCTTTTTTTGGAGAGGTTTTCTTTTTTTGGAGAGGGTGTGTGTGCTTGCCAGACAGACAGAGAGAGACAGAGAGATAGAAAGCGAGAAGTCACCCCCCAGGAGGGATGGTCATGCTGCAATCCCTTCTCCTCCATTCTCCTCTCAGGATCTTGGGCACACACGCACACACGCCTGGCATGAGTTTTAAGCCACTGGGTCTGGGTCGCGAACCGTGGTGGACTACATGGGAGTCCAGCGACATAGCCATTACGCTAACTGCTGGTCCCGTGTATCTTATATTTTTTGTGGCTATGTAAATGGAATAAATTTTTTTTCAGTTCTATCTCACTCTACCTGTTATTTGTATATAGAAATGCTATAGATTTCTGTATATTGATTTTGTGTCCTGCAACTTTACTGTATTCATGTATTATTTACAGAAATTTTTTCATGGAAACCATTGGGTCTTCTGTGTATGCAATTATGTCATCTGTAATTAGAGAGAGTTTCACCTCTTCCTATTCGAATGCCTTTTATTTTTTCCTCTTTTCTGATTGCATTGGTGAGGACTTCCAGTACTGTATTGAAAAGGAGTGGAGAAAGTGGGCATCCTTGTCTTGTACCCATTTTTAGCAGAAAAGCTTTCAGCTTTTCTCCATTGAGGATGATGTTCACTATGGGTTTTTCATAGACAGCTTTTATTGTTTTGAGGAATGACCCTTCTATGCCAATTTTGCTGAGAGTCTTGATCATGAAGGGATGTTGTATCTTATCAAATGCTTTTCTGCATCAATTGATATGACCATATGGTTTTTATCTTTCTTCCTGTTAATATGATGTATTACTTTTATGGTTTTGTGTATATTGAACCAACCTTGCATTTATGGAATAAAGCCTACCTGATCATGATGTATAATCTTTTTTATAAGTTGTTGGA